GAGCACTGGGACAACTCCAAGGGAAACAAAACTAAAGGAACCACATCTGAATTGCACTTCCAACTAAGTACAGTATGTCATATCACAACAGTTACACAACGCATTTAATCAGCCACCTGACGTTACCATAGTTTATGGCAATTATTACAAGTCATATCCCATAGCTTCTTTAATCTCAGCCTTTCAGTAAAACCTTCCAGATGCCAGCTAATCATCCTCTAAGACTGAGGAAAGAAATTATGACTGAAAAGTTAACACCATAACATATAAACTTCACCTTCCTGACAGGTGACAATAATTACTTTCTATTAACTCAAGCTATCTCAATTCTCCCCTCAGGAACTGGAGAAGTCAACTCAAAAATTTTTATCCATGGCTTGCTAAAGCTGAGTGTCATTAAGGTGAGTTTGGATGCTTACACATTTAAGAAGGCTCTGAAACTACAAAATCACAGTAGTCTAATCATCCACCACATGAGGGTGGTGGATGAAATGTAAACAGAACATACATACACACACCCTCGGGTTCCAACAAAACGACTGACCACATCTCCATCTGCTTGGGGCTAGGCAAGATTTCTTCACCTCAGCATGGGCCATGGTGGCCTCCAAGGAAACAGGTCAAGAAAAAACCCATTAAGTAAAAAGGAACAGAAAACTTCTGCCACTTTTTGACTTCAGAAAGCTGCATGTACTTGAAGAGCATGGAAGTGATCACACTGACTTTCTCACCCATCAGACTGGCTTATCTTTGATATGGCTTCAGTGATTTACCAGAGTGCTGCTGCTGGGAATACCTGGGAACACGGTTTTCATGACAAGCTACCCACTTCAAACTGAGGAGCACCAAGCACAAACTGCATTTGCTTAGCATAGTTCTGCCTCCATTGCCTTTTTTCAGCAGCACTACCCAACAGCAATGTTTTAATCCCCACCGTATTGTTCAGACTATTCACTTACAAGAATGACAGCAAAATAACACAAACACCTCACAGCCTCAGTCAGAGCAATCCTACACCAACACCTTGACTTCCAAGGTGCCTCTAGGTCAAAGAGATGCTGAAGACAAAAGACCTAAAAAATCAGTAACAAGGTAGGATGTCTCTCCCATGCTTTACAGTCTCTGTTAAAACAAAGGCTACCTTTCTGAAAACCAACAAGAACCCATGTTGCAGGCTTGTTTAGCAGTCTGTGCTGCACTCAAAGGACAGCTCAAGATCATGAAAACACGGAACAGAGGAATACAAGACTACATCAAAGAACTAGAGACAAGTTTTGTTTCCCTGAAGTCCAATTGAGTGAAGAAGAAAAATTCAAATCTACTTTTCACCCTCATGGATAGTGAAAATCAGGAAGAATGAACAGTAATAATGCTACAAATAGCAGAAATATCCAAGCCTTATTCAGAAGGTGATGTCAGTAATCACTCTGTAATATGACGCTCAACACGGGAACATAAGAATTTAGAACATACCAAACTGAGTATTTTCCTATCTGGAAAAGAATGTTTTGTTAAACAATGGGGGGGGGGTGGATGAAAAAAAAAGGTAAAGCTCAAAAATATTTTTCCTCCTTTCATTTTTTCTTGAGATACAGTTTTTCAGCCTAAAAGATATTTTTCAGTGAATTTGTCCTTTATGTGCCTATTACTGTAGGGCTGAACACAGATAGGGTAAAAAACTGAAAACTGCTTATGCTGCAGTTTATTATCAAATCTACAGAAGCTCTATGGGACAAAATATCACAAGATCAGAACTGTGTAAAAAACCAAAGTATTTTGTGTTAATGACAGAACAGTGAAGACTGGGCACGTTCAATACTTACAGTTCAACTTGGCTTTCTTAAAGAAAAAGGTTTAAAGACTTTTCTAAATAAATTTAAGCTTTCTAGGGATTTCTCAAGTACAGTTGCAACACTTCAGTGAGTCAGAAAAAAAGCTCACACACAGTGACTGAGCCTTGCTTCCAAGAGTTAAGGAAGTAGAAACAAAAGCATACAATACAGGGAAACATTAGGTGCCTCTGAGAAAGATGAAATTGAAAGGAAAAGTGGCCTCCCTAACTGGTGTCTTAAGGCAAAGCTAGAAGACAGGGCATGTTCTCTGTAGTGAGTTCTGTTATACTAGAGAGATGGCATTAGAACAGAAAGCACATACAACTTCTTCATTGCTGTTAGATTTTAGGTTAAGGACAATTTAAATTGGACCTAATTGTACAAACAGACAAATAAAGCAACATCAAAACATCCTCACAATCCAGGGAAATAATCACTGTGTCTGCTAGAAATGGGAAGTTATGTATTAACCAAGCCAGAAAGTTGGCAGTTTTAAGACAAGGACATTACTGAAAGTGCAAGGACACTACCTATACTGTAGATACAAAAAAATACCCTGCTAAGCGGAGGTACATAACCAGCTGAATTCTCCAACTCTACATAATTTTCAGTTAAGCTTTTATAAAATTCAGATTTTTTTCAACAGAGCAGTGAGTTTCTCGCAAATGAAAGAATCTGCATAATTCCAACCATACTTTCTTCCTCTCCCTTTGTTGGCAAATATATCATGATAAACACGCTATATGTAATCTTACGGGGCAACTCCTCCAGGCTGACACCAGATCTTCTCTATATTACATAAAAACCTAATACATTTTCAAGGTTACATTAATAATGATCAGGAACTCACAGAAACACTACTACCTCCAAGCATTCAATACATATTCAACCTACCTAAAGCAACTCAGATATAAAAAGCTCTCAGCAGTTATCCTTATCTTGATAGCTGAAAGAAACTTAGGTGAGGGCATATTAGTAGTTGAACATGCTAGACAAACAACATTAAAGAGGAAAAAAAAAAATCTATCCATGAAATTTGTAATTGTGAGAACTGCAAAATGACACACACAAGTGTCACAGAGAGAGACACATAGCAGTTTATGGTGCTCTTAGCTGCAGCATGTGGCCATCGCATTTCCTCAAAACCAGCATGGCATCACTGCAGTCAGTGAGCTACAGCAACTGCCAGCACAACTCTCCCCAAGTTCAAATAAATAGTGAATGAAAAGAAGTTGCGTGCATCTTTGAAGATACATTAATCATCAAGATAGCCATTTGATTAGTATGCTTCAATTAAAAAAAAACAAAACACACAAAACAACACAAACCTGGAATACTTCATAATAATGAAAGTGTTTATTTTCTGTGTGGTTTCCCAGTGTCCACCTCTAAAATACTAGAGCTTTTGCTTTTTATTCTGTGGTTGTCGCTAATACTCCACATGTACAAGCCACTGAACATAATTCCTGGGGTTTTAAACACTATCTGTGGAGAACACCATCACCCTCTTACCAAATATGCCGCACTATTATCGTATCTCTGATATACCCTGTTATTAAAAAGATTGTAATATTTTCCAATCAAATAAAGCCTCAGGAACTCCACTGTAAGTTTCAGAGGCGGAGAGGAGACAGAGCAAGAAATGCATTAGTTCAGGAACTGCTTCCATGATACATCAACTCTAAAACAACCAAGCTCAGAAACAGCATGGTGTCCAGCTCTTTGTTTCAAAAGGGCTGGCCTCCTTCTGTTTAACACTGCAATCCATGCAAATACAACACTGCAGTGCAGTGATGCAACGATGATTAACCCTGTGAACTGAAATTCAATCAGCCAAAGGCTTGATTGTTAAAGCTCAATATGGGAGCCTGCTGGCCATGAAGCATGATAGGATGGAATACTGGAAGATGCAGTTGTACATAAGAACACAAAGGATCTGGCTATGTTGGTTGCATCTTTTAATTAGTCATCTGAAGAACCCAACTCCATAATCCCCCTTGATGCTGCTCCAGTGGGAGCAACTACCAGAAGAATGAAATGAATTAAAACATTCAAACAGGTAGTTACAGTACACTAAAATTCCCAAGCAGGTATCAAAAAAACCCCACACCACCACCTTCCCATTCAAGAGACATGATGAGCAAGCCAAGTTGGATACCAGCAAGCTAAAAATGCAGAGTTCTCTGTTACAAAAGTCTGTCCCAAGCCTACCAACAATTACATCCTGTTGCCACAGTAGTAGGAATCAAATAAACCTAATAAGCACGAGGGACTGCAGAACAGAGTGGCAGCACTGACAAAACCCAAACAAACAGAATCTTCCACACAAGATAGCCTCAATATGCATCTGACGTGCTTGCTACATCTCAAAACAAGCAAATGTTCAAGTCAGGAAAAGCTGGATATTCAGAAGCCAGTTCTCTTTGAGCAGCTACTTAATAATTTGAAAATAAATAAATAAACAAGCCAACACCAAAAAAATCCCACTGTTTTACAAGTCATAACCATTTGCAAACAACAGAAACAGATCTGTAATAATTCCAAGTGAGATATGTTCCCCAGAGCATGAGAAGGTCTGATTTTTAGCCGACTACTTAGATGTTTAAAGCATATTTTCACTAGCTGAACAATAAAAAAAAAACATACTTAACGATTGTAAGTGGTGCATTTACCCTAGCATTCACAGAGCATTCCTTGTGAGTGCACTTTTCAGCATCACATAGAAAATGCTGAAACACAGTAAAGCCAACACATAAACAGGCAGGGTTTTTTTGCTAACGCGAAGTGATGAGGGCTGGGTACGTGTCCCAATACCAACGTACTGCAACAACAGACCGCACATACTCGCACTGGCAGCTGAGACCAAGTCTTTCCTCCGTCATCTTTCCAATTACTAGAACTGTAGAGATCTCTTCCTCTACCACTGTGCTTAGTCCTCGATCTGCAAACTGCATACTAACACGGCACCGCAACTCTGCCCTGCTGGAACATCGACCGCTTTAGTAGTTTCTTCAGTTACTCCCCTGCATACGCGTGCAGAGGGAGACACAGCCCATGCTGACTGCCACAACTGCCCCTTCTCCCCCGCTCTCGGATGAGGTCCCCAGCTCACCGCAGAGCTCACCCCTGCCGACATAAAGGTTTGACCATCTGGGGTGAGCTGTCGCGATGTGCCCACGTACACACAGCGCAGCAGCCACCAGCACCACCGCCTCTATTAACTCCCCCGGGGCGGCACCACCGCAGCGATCTGCCGTAGCGAGCAGGGACCCCCGGCGGCGGGCGGGTCCCGCTCCCGCTCACATCCACAGCACCCGCGCAAAACCAAGGCAGTAGAGGCTTTGCCTCCTGCCTCCTCCACCCCTGACGAGCCTATTTCGAGGCTAGCACCATGTCCCAGTCCCCCTGCCCCTCCCGGGCTGCTCAGGCCCCACCACTCGCCTGGCCCGCTCCTCGCCCCTGGCAGGTGCCCTCAGCGAGCACCTCCTCCCCGAGGAGCGATTCCCCTCTGCTGGAGATCTCCGGGGCTCTCCCCGCCCCGCTCCCGCCTTTCCTCTCTTCAGCGGGCAAACACTCACAGCCGAACCCGACCCCTCCGAACCGAACCCGCCAGACAGGGCCCCCCGGGCAGCAAATCCGCTTCCCCCGTAGAGCCTCCCGCCCCGCTCTCGTCAGCGGGCGGGTCCGCCCTCGCTCCCCGCGGACCGGCACACACCGCCCCGCCGTGCCGCAGACCCTTCCCCCCAGCCAAACGCGTCCCTCCCGCAGAGCCCCTGCCCGCAAGCCCGCTTCCCCGGCTCCGCTCAGCACAAACCCGCCGGCCGGCCCCTCTGTCCCCACCTCAACCCGCGCTTTCAGGGCTCCCTCCTTCAGCGCTTCCATCCCGCCACTCCCCGCTCCCACAGGTCGTTCTCCCCAGCCCCGACTGAGCCCGCCGGGACCCACAGCGACCCCCTTCCCACAAGCACCCCGCTCCCTCGGGCACCCGCTTCCTTCGACGGTCACTCACCCCCCCAGTCCCCCTCACCCGGCTTCTCACAGCAGCCCCGGGCCCGCTCTCCTCCCATGGAGAAGGGTCCCTCCTCTCCCGGCCAGGACCTTCCGCCGCCCGCAGCGGGAGCAGCCGGGAAGGCGGGGGAGCCCCACCCCCACCTGCTGCCGGCCCCGCCGCGGGCAGAGCGGTACCGGGGCAGCGCTGCCCCCAGGATGCCTCCTCGGGTCCCCCCCGGCCGCAGCACTCACCGGCCAAGCGGGAAACGCGAGACAGAGGCAGCGGGGCGCGGAGGGCCACTGCGCGGCGGGTACTGCCCGCTCCGCCTGCCGCCTCAGAGCGCAGGGCCGGTGGTGCTGGTGCTGCCGCCCGCGCATGGATTATGGAGGGCGGGCTCTGCCCCGGGTCGGGGCTGCGGGACCACCCCGGCAGGCTGGGGCTGAGGGGGGGAGGAAGAGGAGGAGCGTGAGGGGTTTAACCCCGGAGGGACCCGGGAGGTTTCGTGTCGCTGATGTTGAAGTGCTGCCGAGAGGATCAGGCTGAACCTGTACTCGGGCCGGCGGGCGCATACAGCGATCGGCGACCTGTTGCTCCGAGGCAGGACCTGTCTCCTGCCCTCGTCCTACCGATAACGTGTCTGGGAAAGCCGGGACCAAGGGCTGGCCTCTGCCGAGGCGCACCCGTCCTTTCCATCCCAAGTGTGGTCGTGCCTCACACCCTTTTTGGTGCTTCTAGGGCTTGGTGTGAGTTCAGGCGGGTTTGTTTTCACATCAAGGTGACTTACCCCATTATCTTTTGGAAAAAAATCTTGTTTTACCATTCCCGAGGGGTGTCCTTAGTTTCTAATGGGGTTATCATTCTGTGTCGGGCGGGTATCCATGTTTCATTTTCCTAAGTGATCTTGTTTGTTTGTTTCTGAGGGCGTGTGATTTATAGGTAAAACGAGAAGCAGCACCTTTCCTATATGTTACAGTAACATACACTTCTAAAGGCTCCTGTGCTTTCCTCCTCCTGCCCTTTGCAGGTTTTATTTGCAGCTTTGGTATTTTAATATGGTCTCCCCCATTGCAATGTTAAAACAACCATGGTTCTTATCTCTGTGACTAGACCCTTTATTTTTCAGCATCACAAATAAGGCAAAGCAAGAATTTGCACTGGATATCCAAGGTCATGCTGGTTCCTTGGAAGTACTTAAAACACTGATGGAGAAGGTGTTTAGTCTCGCTCTTGGCAGGCAGAAAGAAATCAAGGCTGTGGCAGCAGTCTGTATTGCTAACGTGTTTGGCCAAACACTGAACAGCTTTCCCATAGATGTTATTTGGTGTTGCTGAACTCTACCTGTATTTCAGCTCAGGAGGTGTGCCAGTGATACGCATCAAAGAACAAGTTGACACATTGGCTGCCCATAGAAAGAACAGTTATTCTGACTCCAGCTAATCCTGGATTTGTTCAGCGGGAGGACATAGTGGCACAACCCAAAACGGAGTGACACAGAGCTCAAAGAAAGGATCTTGACCTACTTCTTTTTATAGTTCTATGCGCCCTAAGCCATGTGTCAAAGAGGGGCAATGCTGTAGTCTTGGGGAAAACACAGAACAGCTTGACAAAAGGACAAATGTGTTACATTAGCAATGTAGTCCCCAAATCCATTGTACAGGTCCTGTCTTAAGCTTTAGATGAAAATTGTTCCAAATACATGAGAATTTCCTTTCCAAATAATGGCATGTGAGTGCCCAACACCCTCAATCATAGAATCACATGATCAACTAGATTGGAAAAGACCTTTAAGATCAAGTCCTACAGTTACCCCAGGACTGCCAGGACCACCTCTACACCATGTCACTAAGGGCCTTGTTTACATGTTTTTTGAACACTGCCAATGGACTGTGACTCCACCACTTCCCTGGGCAGCCTGTTCCAATGCCTGATCACCCTTCTGTTGAAGACATTTTTCCTAATATCCAATCTCAACCTCCCCTGGTGCAGCTTGAGAATGTTTGCTCTTGTCCTATCGCTTGTTGCTTAGGAGAGGAGACTGACCCCCACCTCTCCATCCTCGTTTCAGGTAGTTATAGAGAGTGATAATGTCCACCCTGAGTTTGGATTTTTTCAGCTCAAAGACTGTAAACTTGCAGAAGGGAATATATCTCTCTTATTAAGCAGAGATACCTGAAGACCTTACATAGAACTGAGATGATCTGGTGAATTTTATTCTCTTGCTTCCACATAGGGTTAAAACAAAAGGGCCAAATCAAAATGGCCTCATTGACAGAGGCAGTGTCAAGTTTAAACTGCAGTGTGAAGGCATACAGCTACAGTGATAAATAACTGCAAGGGTGGAATAGTCTGAAGGAACTTGAAGAGAATCTGGAAATGTGGAAAGGAACAGCATGGAGTGAAGTTTTAGGAAATCTTGCCTTGTTTGAGCCAGAGATATTAAGATTTTCTTTTGGATTGTTAATTTATATAAGTTATAGGTTTACTACCATTTATGGTAGTTTGCATCAACAAGAGCATACAAATGGAGTTACAGAAAAAGGATATTAGCTTTTGGAGAAGAACTGAAACTAAATCAAGACAAACACTATTAACAGAGGCATTTCTTCAGCAGACTAAGCCAACACCTATTTTCTGATTAGTATTATCCATGTATAACAGCTTTCCTGTTTTTTTATGGATGATGCCATTATTACAAGAAAGCTTTCCAGTCACATCTGAAGTTTCTTTGTACTACTGGTATCTAGCCTGATACAAGGAGTTTGCCTCGGATCTCTGGAAGTGACCGAGTTAAAATAATTTATATTGTATTAGGTACTGCAAATGTGCTCTCCGAGTAGCACATAGTTAAAATGTCAGAGCTTGTCACTGTGAGATGGTAAATGGAAGCATGACCTCTTCAGCTGCCTCCTACTACGTTGCTGGCAACTCCAAGTAAATGTCTGACCTGAAAGTGCTCTGAGCAGCTGTTGACCTTTCCTTGATGCTTCTTCTCCACTAACTGCATGTCAGGTAGAGGCGAACAATGGTGAAGTGGGAAATACTGCACCAGTTAGCAGCCCTTTCCCTCACTCCCTATCTCCCTGCCATCCAAATTGCAACTGAGTCAGGGCTTGCTTAGCTGCACTTACTTGCTTGGAGTTTTGCTGTATGTTCTGCAAAGGATGTGCTGCTGGTAGGTGGTTTGCATGCACAGTGTAACGCAGGCACATTAGAGAAGCAGAATGTGTAAAAATGGTGTAGTCTTGGCAGGCTCAGAGAGCATCAAGAAAACTTGTCCTCCAGGGACTGCAGCATCTTTTATATGTGGTCCTTTGTGCCTCAGGGCAATTGGGCTAAAATTAATCAAGATGCCTCCTAGCTTTATTCTTTGTGGTGCAAACTTTTAAATGATCGCAGCACTCAGAGCTGCGGTCAGGTTAGTGAGACAGCTAAACCCCTAATTGCTCACATAAATGAGGAAGCAGTCTTTCAAACCACAGCACAGTAGGTGCTAATGCCTTTGAAAACCTGCTTTATAAGCATCCAAAACAGGAACAGCTGGATGATAAAACCTGGCCCGTACTCTCTGGTGAGCATTTGAAAATCTGTCTGTGTATCAGTCATCTCTGTTATCTCAGAGGAAAATCTTCATATAACAGGAAGATACATGAGATTTAGAGCTTAACTGTAATGGTTGTATCACGTAATTGATTTTTAAGTAGAGCTTGTGATTAAAGGTCTATTAGATAAATAGCCTTTTTCATTAGTTGGAGTTAAGCAAAGCATAGTGTTGCCTGAAGAGTTCTAAAATCATAACTCCAACCCTTACCACCTCCCCAAAAGAAAAAGGTTGAAGTAGAAAACCTCTTACATTGTGTTTAGTTTTCCTCTGCCTATCCCCTGATCATGTGTTCAGAGAAAGAAGGGTGCATGGAAGTGGCAGAGAGGAGCAGCATATCTTCACTGCACCAGGGCTATGGAGAAAAAGTGATTTACACCTTTGTCAAGATCACACTGAAGAGTGAATTCTGCCAACACCCCAAAATGCAATTTGTCCCTCTTGTCAGCTTTAGAGTTTAGCCTGATGCCTGTCTGCTTTGCCCAGTTTCCTGTGGGCTATGCCTCCCAGTTCTTCCATGCCCTCTGTTTAGCAGTGCCCTCCTTCCTGCCACCTGATGCCCACCTTCCCTCCAGGTCTGGCTTAGCCCTTTGGATTCTGCCAGCCCTCCCAGTTAGCTAATGCTGCCCAGCAGCACCCACCAGCTACTCACATACCCCATATCCTCCTTCTTCTCAGCTCCCTGTTGACACTGTTTCTCTGACATCCACAGCTGCATCCCTCCTTATCCTTAATTCTCCCGTGGGATGCAAGGCTTAAGGGATTATGGGCTGTGTGAGTTCACGGCCTGAACTCCAATCCTTCCAGGCTAGAGCCAAGGCTAGTCCAGGCTCTGCAGGCTCTGGGAGAGCAGGGAACTAGGATTACAGCAGGCAGGAGTTGCTGTGTTAGACATAAAATACATAAAATTTGAAAGAATGATTAGGATCCATAAAATAGTGGGAAACCTTACAATTGCTCTGTGCTATAGCCTGCCATTTATTTGCCTAATTTCTTACTCCTGAGGGAAGATAAAAGAAGGAAATGGACAATCTTACTCACATTCATTCTCAAACCTAGAAAACAACACGACATTTCATTGTAGACTTTTGATTCATGCCAGTTTAGGGTATGATTTCAGTGAGCCTTGCCTTTGTTTGAACAGAAGATTTATGCTGCTGTATATCACTTTAGGATGCCTTCAGAGAGCTGATGTTTTGTTAGCTACACGTCTTGCCATTATGCTATGCTGTGCCCCCTTCTAGTGACTGTGATAGATCTGTATGACAACTCATCAAGGAAGTTAAAAATTGCATTCATTGCTTTTCATCAGAGGAAACCACTAGTAGCTGCTATAACATGTTTTACAGCTAAACAAAGATACAAAATGACAGGGATTACATGATGCATGTACTTGGAACTTGTAGCTTCTTTTATGAGCTCCTCCCAACTCCATTTTTCTATCATCGTCTCTATGTTTTATTTCTGCTCACAAGCTTTGACACTTGCCATCCTGATAAATTACCATGTCAGGAATGCTTGAAATTAAAATGGGAAAGGCACATGTCTTTTTGACACTGGAACCAAAGGAGCATTACTTGTTTCTTATGCTATTTGATAGCAGCTTGAGGAGCAATGGCCATCTACCTCCCCAGATTTTGGTTCCAGTTCTAGCACTTTACACTTGTGAATAAAGGTACTGAACAGCAGCTCCCAGGTTCTCTCTGTGGGAGCTGTATGTAATGAGCTGCCTGACAGAGGGCTGAGAGAGTTGAGCTTCTTCAGCCTGCAGAAGAGAAAGCTCAGGGAGACCTTGGGGCAGCTTCCGGTGCCTAAAGGGGCCTACAAGAAATCTGGGGACGGACT